CCAGTAACTTCATCGTTGAGTGCAAGAGAGAACGAGCGGACTAATTCGTCAGTGGCTTCGATGCATCCGTCGAGTTCATTCGCGATGAGTTGATGTTGAACGAATCTACCATCATGAGTTGTTTCGAATTCGGTATCTGGGTATTGTCTCTTGTTGACGGTGAGCTGACAGTGTTGGTACATGATGTTCTGGAAGCATGTGATATCCCCTGGATGACGTGGAAACATGAGTGTGATGTTTGTGGCGTTTCGGAGTGGAATGGATTTCGAGACGTCTAATCCCTCAGCTTTGGCAGTACCTTCGAAGATCTCGCGAGTGAGTTCTTGTGCAGGGACGATGATTGGGGTCTTAAGTGCTTCGTACAATCCCTCGATGACGTTTGGTTTGACACCGAATCCAGCACAGTTGGTTCTCGCTATCTTGATCTCACCGTTGTTGTATAGCTGAAGGGTATTGAACTTGACGGTCCAGTGGTTCTCTTTGGCGTCTTTGATGGAGGATGCTTTGAAGTCAATGCTCGCGTCAGCTACTGCTGTGTTGAGTGGTTTCTCGGTGACTGCGTGAACGATCTTCGCTGGCATTCCAATCTGTGTGAAGTGGGCTGTGATAGGGAGTATCCATGGTGAACTGTACTCTTTGGTGGCATCGTAGTTCATGAATTTGAGTACATCAGCAACGGCTTTGGGATCGATTTGACACCAAACGAGGGCATCTAAAGAGGTTCTGATCTCTTCTTCTACTTCACCGAGGATTCGGTTAGGATAGAGGCGCCAGGCTTGGAGTGCGAGTTGGTCTGTGAATGGGATGATGAGATCGAGTTTGACGTCAACGGGTGCTCCACCTTCGAACTTGGCTAATGGGATGTAGACACCGCACTTGCATGGCATGTAGTTCATAACGTTCTCCCAGATGGAGTGTGCATGAGGGTTGGCTGCTTTAGCGTCACGTGCTTTGATGGAGTTGTATGCGAATGATTCGCGGATGAGTTCGTCTTGGCGATAGGTGTCGATGAGCTTGCCGTTCACCCAGAATCTACAGTCTTCGATGAATTCAACGGAGTTCTTGAAGCCGACGAAGATGAGGTTCAACCCTTCTGTATCGATCTTAGAGATGGCGTCAGCAGCGATGTTGTTCTGGAACTTGACCTTGAATTCGACTGTGGCGTTGATGAATCCCTTCTCGATTTGGCTGATGGTGTGACCTGAGTGAGTGAGCTTCAAGCGAGTTTTGGTACCGACTGGCATTGGAGCATCTTTGTTGAGGAACTCTTCGGTAACGAAAGAGAATGTGTTGTCACCTCCGTTCTTTTGGACGAGGTTACGGAGAGTATCGTTGAAGAAGTCGAGGACATCTCCCTCGTCATTGCCGGAGTTCTTGAATTGAGCGTTCTGGTAGGTCATTTGGGTTGTCACTAAAAAATCGGAACTGTCGATGGGGTTCTAACCTCGTTGAAATCACTTTTTTGTATCACCACAAACATGGCATTCGGAACCTGGTTCAAAAAACTCGGGAAGAAGATCGTAGATGGGATCAAGAAAGTAGTTCCCATCGCCAAGAAAGTCGGTAAGGTCGTCAAGAACACGGTAGCACCCATATTGGGAACCATCGGTAACGCAATCGGTGGAAAGGTTGGTAACGCTATTGGTGTCGCAAGCAAAGTCACTGGAATAGCTGGTGATAAAGCAGTCTCGATATCAGACAAGGTCGACAACTACATCAAAACGAATGGGCGTTCAGCGATTGATGACTGGATAGCTCATGAACGAAGCCTCGGCAACCGTCTTATCCATCCAAGGTAAGAGGTGATTTCGGGTCCGCCCCATTTCGGGCACACCCATTTCGGAGGTGATTGAATGAGTTCGTTAATGATTGATCTGTTTCGGAATCGATCGATAAGGTTTACCTATTTTTGTGTTGACTCAAACATGGACGTCAAAGTAATTGAGCCCATCACGCACTACCTCAAAGAGTTCGACACCCCTAACGACTTCGACTCATGGTACAAATCCCATCAAGAAGAGATGGACAAGCTAACCACCCACAAGCTCAACAAGATGTACCACATCAACGGATATCGTGTCACGAGAATCAAAGGTGTACTATCACTCAAGAAAGCCCCGAAAGCGACGAAACCCAAAGAAGATGACTCGGAGACGGAACAGAGATTCATGGCTATCGAGAACGAGATATCCGAGATGAGTGACGACATCAAAAACATCAAGTTGGCGTTGCAGTCGATACAAGACTACTTCAATCAACTCATACCTGAATGAACGTCTCGCCACCGTCAACGACCTGAATGACCATATATGGATGGGAGTCGGGATAGTTGGTCTTCAACGACATGATCTGCTCATATTTTTCGTAGAAGTCGTCGAAACAGAGATTCGATGCGGACTGACTATAGATGTACCTCAGTTGTTGTTTGTTGAAACAGGGGAATATCATCAACGTGGTGATCTCGTTCTTGATGTGCGGCTTCAGGCCCTTCCATCCCTGAATCAATAGAAAGAAGGTCATGTTGGTGTGTCGACAACGACGGAGTAACTGAGAGAAGTACGATGTCTCATTCGTGAAGAGTTTGCTGTTACTGATGTCATCAAAGAGGACGAGTGTATGGAGGTACTTCCGATGGAAGTCATCGATGTGGAGGGTATCGAAGAGGTCATGGATCTCTTTTGGGGTGATGTTGAGTTGGGGGTCGTCTAGTTTGTCTTCGAGATGGTTGTTCGTGATGGCATAGTACTCGTTCTTGGCTTTAATGAGCTTCTCTATGACTGTTTCTGCAGAGGATTCACTGATGGTGATGATCGGTAAACGAGGTTCTATCAGTGATTTCAAGGCGAGGAAGGATCGATCACTTTCATTCCCATCTTTGGTTACGTAGACGAGTAGATGATGAGTATCCATTAATGCAATCTTGATGATCTCTTCCAAAGCGATGACTGTCTTCCCCTGACCTTGCTTACCGACAATGACGTTAACGGAGTTGTATCTAACGTTGATCTCTGGATGAACCTTGTCTATGAAGGCTCCACTCATGTCGTTCTTCTTAGTGGACAGTACCTCATGGACCTTGTCTTTAACGATGTCTGACAGAGATGTACTCATGGTTTCTGTGCCATAAAAATAGGTATCGTCTAGTGGGTGGTTCATCAGCTTACTCCAAGAAAGCTTCTCCATCGTCTACTGGAACTGCTTCTGGTGATGAATGTGGAGCTGCCCAAGCAGATGCTACTGATGATGGTGGAGCTGCCCAAGAGGATGGTCCCATAAACGAAGCTGCGTGACCATCAAGACTATCAGGGTCAGGGTAGTTGGCAGGTGGTTGAAGAGCGGGAGTCAATTGAAGGTTCAAGATTTGGCATATATCCCTGATGAGACGATAATACAGTGTATCGTATGCGTGTGTGTTACTGTTGTCTCTGTGGGCGAGCATTAATGAATAGACCTTGTTTTCGATGCTTGGTTGTGAGTTCTTCTTACGCTTGATCTTGTCGAATTGGTCATCAGGAATATCGTCTGGGAGATTCAATGCGGCTTTGATCTGAGACTTCCAGTAACTACCGCATAACTTCGAATGGAGGACCATCTTATGTTGCCCAGGAATGGTGGTGTGATGGGCATCTTCGATCTGAGCGATAGCAGCATTGAAGGCATCAGTGAAGACGTACTTGTTGAACATCTCGTAAGCGGATTGTTTACGAGGCTTCTTCATTCGATAGCCACTCTTGGGGTTCTCCAATACGTTCTGGTACCATTGAGGAGTCTGAGAAAGGTTAGTTCCGATGACGGTACCTACTTGACGGATTTGCTCAGGATGTTGTGCACTATCGTAGTCAAAGTAGGTGACACCCAATGTGTCATTGATGAAGCCACGTTTCGTGATGGCTTTACCGTCATGTCGTCGCTTATATTCAGCACGAGATGCTTTGTCGGGATATGTTGAATGGTATGCCAAAGTGTTTGGCCAGTCGGATTGGACTGTTGTGTATCCGTTCGCGTAGACTGGGTTGTTGTTCTTGTCGACGATGATTACATCAGGGACACCATCGTTGTTGACATCAGGCATGTTATTCAGAACGGCAGGTCCATTAACATCGAGCTTCTTGAGTGCCCATCGACTATTCGGATTCGAATGATTGTGCTTCTCGACCAAACTTTGAGCACCTTGTGGAGAGATGAGGCTGTTCATGCGCTTCACGTCTTGCTTCAACCCAAGGACAATGTCCATCAGTTCTTTCATTCCGGTTTTACCCTTCGAGGTCATTTGGTTTCGACTAAAAAGTTGGTAGGTCGGTCACGAGATCACCCCCACATGCACACCCCTCACGAGATCACCCATCCACGAGATCACCCACACTCACCCACCCCGCTATTTATCGCTCATGAGGTATAAACAATATCTAGTAGTCGTCCATTTCACTCACTAACGAGACTCTTTACCGGGCATAACCACCACGAAAATCGTCACGGGATGGTCACAAACGAGGATCTCTCAGTAACTACCCATTTAAGGGCCATTTTCGACGAATTTCGTATCTAGTAGTCGTCCATTTCGAGCATCGTAACTAGACCCTCCGAGTGTGCGATTCACGCGAGAAATACACGATGGACATGTCACGTCGGAGTCACTGAAACCGCTGTTCTGACGATGTGCTTGTCGTCACGGAAACGGCCCATTTAAGGCCCATTTGGGGCTCTTTTTGGGACTTTCGAAAAACGCGTTTCCATGCTCGTAACTACCCATTTAAGGGCCATTTTCGACGAATTCGTATCTTGTAGTCAGACGCGCCTCCCCTACACTACTAATTGATTCAAATGTGAAAATAAATAGAATTTGAATACGTTTTATAAAATATAATTTTAGAATTATCGAATGCCTCCATAATTCAAATCTAATACCATATGTCAAAACTAAAAGCATTGAAAGAATATTTGAAATTTGCGGAATGAAGTGATATCACTTAAATTCACAAAAAAAAAAAAAAAAAAAAAAAGTGCGATGGACGGATTCGAACCATCAACTCTGAGAGCATGAATCTCATGAACTACCTCTTGTTCCACATCGCATTTCTATTTATCTTATTTTAAATATAATCTAGAAGTCTTTTCCAGTCCATTTTGGAATACAATACTTATATTCATAGTTATTTTTTTTTATTGAAAAATGACTAATAACTTTTTTTTTTATTTGAGAGCACATAAAGCAGTTAGAAATAGCTACCGAAAATATCAAAATGATAAAATCGTAGATTCAAGTCACCATGCCAATCTGGTCCTGTTTGAACGATTCTCACGAAGTAGTATAGTATAGGCTCCGCTACCGCCAAGCCTATACTTGGGGGCTCCGCAGAGGCTCCGCACCCCACTACTCCAGGGGTTCGCACCCCTGGACCCCCTCAAAAGGCCCCCACATTCAAAAAGTTCGCAGCAAAAAAAATCCAAACTCATACTTTTATCGTCTCGTTATCAAAATTATTTTAGCCCAAAAAAATCGACCTAAATGAATTTGTGGGATAAATCCCACCGGGGGCATATCCCCCGGATGGTCTGGGCTAAAGCCCAGCATGCATCCCCCCTCTTTTGCTTACGCAAAATCTTTTTCTTTTTTGTTCTCTCCCCCCCTCTCGTCCCCCCCGCTGGGGGGGCTCAGATTACCTTCGGGCTATATATCTAAACACCTAGGGAGGCTCACTCCTAATGTCGTTCGCTAATATAGAATCTTTTTTATTATATGTAGTAGTATATATAAATGGCGTGATTTCTTAACGTTCCGTCAAGAAATCCCAACCATTTTTTGTTAAGATATCCCTTCGAATCAAGAAGTTGTTTTATAATGATTGAAATGTACCCGACGCTCAATCCAGCTGAAGAACAAACACCAATCCCTATAGAATATGCTTACTTTATAGTAATGAATGTATTTCATTCTTGGTGTTATCTTCAGCTAAGATACCATTTGATGTAAAGAATGTTGTATTTATCAATATAAAATTAGCTGTTGCATTGACAATAAAATTGCTACTATTTAATGGAAATTCAATATTGTTTATCCATATCTTATTTGGTTCGCATTGATATTCATACTTAGGAGTATTATTAACATTGAATGATATATTGATTTTGATTTCTTTATCACTAGCAACATTATTTTTGTTTTCATGATATGTCAAATAGAGCATAGCTTCATATACATCAAGTTGTTGGTCAAATTGATAACGAATGCTAGTACTATTTGGTATGTTGAATGTATAGTTAATTCGTGTTAATTTATTCTCTAATGCTGCTAATCTTGTCTCTAAGTTTTCTATCCTTGTCTTCAATTCTTCATTTTCGCTTTTCAAAGCATAATTGGTCAAATCAACAGGTTCAGGAATCTCACTTTTCACTTGCTCAATAGCAAGGGCCAACTCTGTTGTCAATGCTATTTTATCTTGATTCAATATTTTTTCCGCTAATATTAATTTGGTATCAAAATAGTCTTCCCCGTTATCGATATAAAAGCACAGACCATTACTATCACTTTTATAATAAGTTAAGTAATAAGTTGTTCCGTCAATTTCAAAATCGACATTAACATCTCCATCTTCAGTAATAACACCATTATAATCAAACAAATAATCAAACTCTTTTACAAAGCCATCGTTATTTGATATTGTCCCAACAAGATGAGTTCCCCTAGTCAATTTTATTTTGACTTCCCACGTTCCTGAGCTATCTTGTACATTTTCAAAAGGCACATCAATAGATTCTTTATATATCAAATCATTTTTTTCTCGATATTTTGATAAATCTACGGCGGCAGGAATCTCACTCTTTACTTTCTCCAACGCCTCATTTACTTCATCAACAGTAGGGAAATTATTAAATTCAGCTTCTAGTTCATTTACTTTTTCGGCAAGTAATTTAAATGCAGGCTTCAAAGAATCTCTAAATATATTACCAATATCCATTGCCCCACTTAAAGTTAAGGCTCCACTGTCAGGATTATCATTTTCATCTTCAAATTTTATATCATCTAATGGTTTATATTCTTCTTCACACCACATAATTATTGGAGTAATATCTTTTGTAATAGACCTAGCGATGGTCCCAGACATAAAATTAATAGATGACCGCAACAAATCACTCATGCCTTTCGTTGATTTGTTAGAGAAAATTCTCTTCAAAAATCCACCTCCATTTATGGTTGGAAAACTAATTCCTTCGGGAAAAAGCTGCATGCCTATAGAGCCCATAGAACCTGCCGTTCCAGCTACTCCAAAAGCTAAAGCTGTCCATGACACAATTCTTAATTTATCAACATCTTCTTCTAGATGCTGAGTTATTGTTTCTGCTCTTGATACTCTTCCTTTGAGGCTTTCCATTGTCGTGCTCATTTCCTGGACGTCATAACTTATCACATCAACATTATTGCTTACCATATTTAAATCACTTCTCATTGTAGTAATATTGTCGGCAGTAATAATTTTGGACGAGGTAATGTTATAGTCTGTATATAATGTTGTTGCAGCATTAGGATTGGGATATATCTCATAAAATTGTTGTTTGATAATATATTCGAAGGGGTTTGTTGTAGGGTCCCAATTGACCTCATCTATCGGGTCAACATATTCTTTGAATAAATAGATTCTAATATTTCGTGAGTCATTAGGGGTAGATGAAGCATAACAATATTCTACTTTTTCACACGAATCTAATATACCAGTGATGAAATACCATTTCTTATCACTCTTGGGGTCAAATATTTTTCCAGTAGGCCTCATAGAAAATCTGTTTGCCTTGATGGTGCCGTCCAAAGTGATATCAAGTAAAAATTCTTCCACTTTAGAAATATCTAATTCGCTCCCTGTACCGTTTGCTTTATAGCATCTTATAGCTTCAATATCATATCCATCAACATTTATTCCTCCATTACTTGTTTGATAGCCCAATCCATATTTTGAAAAGCTTTCTATCTCACCCGTCTTTAGTTTCAATTTACAGTCCAATTTACATTTCCCTCCATGTATCATATAATGTAGGAGATTATCAATAGAATAGTCATCAGGCTTTTTAATCAACATTTTATTTCTTTCACTTCTCTTGATTCTAATATATGTTCCATCCTCTCCATGTTCATTCTCTTTATTTAATGCATTTTTTATATTTCCGTTTATGTTTCCTTGTATATTATCTCCTACCCACTTAGTTCCATCCCAGCTTAAAATCCATTTATTACCAAAACAATATTCACTAAACTTAAATTCCAAGCCGCTAGGTATATTGTAATTATCGTCTATATTCCATTGCAGTAGCCAATACATTTTATCATCTATTTGGACTTCACTAGTTAGTGTGGGTTTATAGAGATACAATACATCACTTTTATGAAGCTTCAAAGCATTATCAGCCTTGATAATTGAACATTTTATTGCCTTCTCTGTTTGTAAACTATCAGTAAGATATTCATTCATTATACTCAACTCACCATTCAACCAAAGGGAATAGGGATTAAAATCGAGGCTAGAATCGAAAGCTATGTTGATGTATTCAAATATAGTGCTGTTATTTATAGAACAGCCATTACTGCTTTTGGTTATGAGAGGGCAATAAACCTTTCCATCCTTGGCATAAATAAAGAATTCCTTCACTAAATTTCCATTCGTATCGTATATAATATTTTTTCTCAAAACAACTTTGAAAAGATTAGTTTGGGCTGTTATTTCCTTCACTTTATTCATGAAATCCTCAGGTATATTAACAAATTTAAGAATATGATATTGGGTTGTTGATGACTCAAATGACTCGTATTGTATATTATTATTTTTGATATTAAATTCTGGTATGCCATCTACTTCATTGAATAAATGGCCTGTCTGAACATATCCATCTAAATCACTTAGGGTTAATAACTGGCTTGCTTTACGAGTGCTGTCTCCTACCTTGAATTGTATATCTCCGATGAATTTTGTTGTTGTTGCTGCCATTTCAAACCCAAAAAAATATTTCCCTATTCTACTCAATATTTGCACACTTCTTCTCCAATGCAGCAATCCTTTTCTCCAATGAATCGATATATAAATCCTTTTGCTCCAGCATTTCTTTGACTTCCAATTTTGTAATATAAGCAGTCATATCTATATCATCTAGGGGATGCTTTGTGCTTTGAACAGATTTTATTTCGTTAGCTAATATTTTGAAAACAGGCTTCAAAGAATCTCTGAAAATATTACATAAATTAAATGTTGCCTGAAGAGTCATTACCCCCTTGTCTGGATCGTCAAAATCATTTTCGAAAGTAATCTCTTCTAATTCATCTAACCCTTCATCACACCATTCTAATACTTTATTTGTGTCTGAAATTGTCCTAGACCAAGGGTCAAATTTTCTTAGCCGAGAAGCGCCGCTAAAATATGACTCTTCCAATAAAAATGATGTCCTAGCATGAGTTATTGTTGTCGCTGCTACTGCTACTTCTGATGACGCTTCTGCTCCTCCAAATGTAATGCCCATCGATGATAAAGCTAAGCCTCCACCAACTATTCCACCTGCTATAGTGAAGGCTAAAGAAATCCCTTCAACAATCTTTATTGACTTCATATCTGAAATTAAATGTTCAGTCTTATCTTCGACTGTTATTAATCTCCTATCCATTTGGCCAACTTTATTCTCCAATTTATTGAAGTCATATGATAAAACATCAAAGTTATTACTTACCAAATTTAAATCACTTCTCATCGTAGTAATATTGTCGGCAGTAATAATTTTGGATGAGCATATATTATAATCTGTATACAAAGTGGTAGCTGCATTAGGATTGGGGTATATCTCATAAAATTGTTGCCTGATAATATATTCAAAGGGATTCATTTTACCATCCCAATTCATTTCTTCGAAGGGGTCTGCCATGCTCTTTCGTAAATATATTTCAATATTCCTTTCCTCAGGATTGATAAAACTATCTGTCCAATCACAGGCTATTCTATCTATTGTGTCCAAATCTCCTATCAAATCAACATTTCCATTCAGCTGTCCATAAACATGAAGTATTTGTGGTAATATTTTGAATGTTAGTCGGGTAGGAGTAG